TGGGGCTTGAAAATGTCTTCAAGTGGAAAAATAACGACTATTAGTTGTCAAATCGACTTTAGGGCTATAGAGTCCAAAAGTAATAGTCTTGATTTTCAGACAATTGTACCGAATGGTCATACGTTTTATGCTGCGCAAAGATTCAATCAGTTTAATCTTCGCCATCACAAGAAGTGGGTTATTGATGTAGACAAATACTCATGTACCCTTTACAACTCTTTTCATGTATGTTATTACCAAAGAAGAAAAAAAGCCAGTCAGTCACTCAATAGTGTCTGACAGTGAAGTCTAGCAAGTAAACGGTTTTCCTTGCATAATTTGATTATGAGGACACTGCTAACGTTTAAATTTCACAGATAGGACATACATGACATATTCATAATTCCTGCAAAGTTCTAGAGCATTTGAGGTTGGCTGCAAAAGGGACATAGTACCTTTAACAGGCGTAAAACATATTATAATCTTTTTTAGACTGTGTAATATTAACGGACCCATATAGTTTTTCAGGATACAAAATTTATTATTTTAAAGATCGGTAATGTTATTAATTTTGGTTTAATTACATAGAAATATGTAAGGGGTCAACGTTGAGTACCGGTACTGCAAACGTCCCCCCCCCCTCTCTCTCTCTCTCTCTTCCTTTATTTTGCCTTCTTGTTCATGCGTATTTTCTCTTTTTTCTTCTCATTATGTTAAACACCCTAACAGCTCTCGTCAAATCAACATTTAAAATGGCAGAGGAAATGCTAGATTTAACAGTTTCAGAATCCATAATTTAAAATAATAAATGTACTCTTGGGAAAATGGCCTTTGTAAAGGGTGATTTAGCGCTCAAGCTTTTTGAGTGCATTCATTATACTGATTTTGTAAAATTGTAAATTCTTTCCTGGATTTCTTTTAATTTCGAAATTAAGTGACAGTCTAATCTTCTTTTGCTTTCAATTTACTCAATATCAAGAAACATTAAAGTGCTTGAAAGTTGGCTGAGAATAATTATCATTAATAATTGTATTGTATAATAATCTATAATCGAAATAATGAAACCTTCCTTTAAAGTTATATTCAACCAATTAAAGCTACGAAATTCAATCTGAAAATCCACAACGAGATGACGGTAATTCTAGTAGGTGCATTCTCAATCATACGAATGGTCTTATTTATAGCCTCAATAGTATATGTACATGTACATACATCTCTCTGGTGCCGAATTTGAATGTAAATAATATAATTATTACAATATTAACTACAGTCATTAGAAAATATAGCCTATTACATTTCTGAAGTTTCACATTCATCGAAAGAAATCGGGTAAAATAACCGTCATTTCAAATATACTTGATAGAACATATAGACCCTTTGTTTTTTTTACTAATAAACTAGGATCACGTGATTTTACATAAAACATGTATTTGAAACTACTGTAATTTGTTTCCGATCAAAATAAACTATTGCGAAATTGTTTACACTCAATAAATATAATCCATGATATTCATGCTATATATATAAGGCACTAAGAGATGCTTTCTATATGAAAAATCTTATGTATAAGAATTACTATAGATACATGAATACACCAGAAATTTGCAAAACTTATATGAAGGCGTGCGCATGGCAAGCCATCTGTATAAACAAATGTCCCGTGTAAACTTTAATGCTTACTCGTGACCACGATTCACAAAATTTGATTTTTTTTTTTTTTTTTTTTTTTTTTTTAACACGCTTCATTTTCGAACGGCATTGGTTTTTCCCGACATGTATTGCCATATCATATCTGATAAGTTTTGTTGTTGATATTAGCATTGAATGTAGATAATGTGCAATATATTTATAACAATATTTCAAATGTAAATGACTTTGTCAGAATTTCTGTAATAGTTGCATTTGACTGTTACAATGTAATATATTTACAAAAATAGAGAAAACGATGACGCATACTTCATACCATATCGCAACACTGAAATAACTTTACATCATTGATCTAAACAAAATATTTATCACATGGCCTGCATATTATCCTTTCCTTACAAACTACAACTTTGAAGTGTAAGATACAAATAGTACAATATTGATAAACCAAATACGTAAATTAGTGAAATACCATTTGACATGCCTTAATGTCATTTCGGGGAAATAATTTATATATAGCAAAAAAGGGCGCAAAGTTTGAAATTTGAAAAAATATTAACGTGTGATTTGATATCCTTACGACTACCTCTCGTGATTTTTTTCAGTCATAAAAATGCCGATATCATTCAAATACCCTTCACATTTACACGAAATTCTTATTTTTCTCCTTGAAATAAATGTCAGTAAACTAAAAAAAAAAACGAACTAAAACTAAATCACGAAAACATATTTAATAGAAGAGAAAGTGAGAATTTCGTCATTTAAATAGATAACCACATGCAATGTATACTATCCAGAAAATACATCATGCGTAATAAAAATGTCGTCTTTGATGAGCCTGATAAAAAATTCAGAGTGAAAGACTCATTTATGAAAAACATTGAATAGTTAGAACACGGGCATTAGATTATAGACTTTTTAAAGTAAAGCAATGTTAATTACATACGTTACTACTAACGAAAAAGCTATTAAAAAAATATTTAAAAAAGTTATTTCATTGCTCAATACACCAATATTAGTAAGCTGAATAAACAGAATATCAGAAAACAACAACAAAATATTATAAAACTCTCATAACCATGCTCTTTCATCGAATTTCTAATATTGTCCCGAATATTTGTTATACATTTGATCCAGTTCCCTTCCTCCCCGCGGTTCTATTTTGCTTAATTTTGTTCCATCTTCAATTTGGTCGATTCGTCCTATAACATTTTAATTTGAGGTTGTGCCCCTTCCACCCCTTACGAAAAATGTGGATCCACAAAGCACGTTTTTCTATTTTTTGTCAGGGAGCCTCATGGGAATTTGATATACATCATATTTCTACTTATTAATCGACATAATCAGTAACATAAAATTCGGACAAGCACATAGGCCTAGAACATGTAAAAAGACATGGTTTGTTTAATAGCATCCAATTCAAATAATAGTGGAATCCACACTCAAATCCTAATAAATTCCACTCCAAAATATGTGACCTCAAATTTTTTTTTAATTTTTGTGTGTTCTATCTTACTTCTGCTTCTTTGTTTTTAATTTACATGCTTTTATGTGATCGCCTTTAAGCAATTGATTTCAAGTGGATTCGTGCCTTCCAAATCTCACATACATATATTATTATTATTACAAGTAACAGCAACGTATGATGCCGAAGCAGTGTCTTGGACCACGTAAAGGAAATCTTGAAGATCATCCCTAAAAACGTTTGTTTGTTTCTTGTTATTTCCGTGATATAAAAATAATATAAAATAAAAAGAAAGTAACAAAAATTACAAAAATTACAAAGGTGCCCTTTTGTTGGTGTCCCCCCCCCCCCCACACACAAACACACACTTTGAAAGACGGTCCGTCTCCCTGAATAAAAAACATAAACCTATATACATAAATCATAGAAAATAAACTCATTTCAAAAGCCATTTTAGATGTACAGAAGACCGCATGTTGGTTAGAAATACATGTTCATGTCCCTGATAGCAGACTGACGTCTTAAAGACGTCATAAATTGGTCGTAAAGTGGTAAACACGTCGTACATCGTATGGACGACGTAATTACGACGTCATTATGACGTCTTTATAAGACTATTTTTTCCAAGATAATTTTTGTCGTATTAACGACGTCATGAAGACGTCATTTTGACGTCTTTAAAAGACTATTTTTTCCAAGCTATTTTTTGTCATATTGACGACGTGATAATGACGTCATTATGACGTCTTTAAAAGACTATTTTTTCCAAGATAATTTTGTCGCATTAACGACGTCATAAAGACGTCATTTTCTCGTCTTTAAAAGACTTTTTTTCCCAAGCTTATTTTTGTCGTATTGACGACGTGATAACGACGTCATTATGACGTCTTTAAAAGACTATTTTTTTCAATGTAATGTTGTCGTATTGACGACGTGATAACGACGTCATTATGACGTCTTTAAAATACTATTTTTCCAAGCTAATTTTTGTCGTATCGACGACGTCATTATGACGTCTTTAAAAGACTAATTTTTTCAATGTAATGTCGTCGTATTGACGACGTGATAACGACGTCATTATGACGTCTTTAAAAGACTATTTTTTCCAAGCTAATTTTTGTCGTATCGACGACGTCATTATGACGTCTTTAAAAGACTATTTTTTCCAATGTAATGTTGTCGTATTGACGACGTGGTAACGACGTCATTATGACGTCTCTAAAATACTAATTTTTCCAAGCTAATTTTTGCCGTATCGACGACGTCATTTTGACGTCTTTAAAAGACTATTTTGTTTCCAATGTAATGTTGTCGTATTGACGACGTGATAACGACGTCATCATGACGTCTTTAAAATACTATTTTTTCCAAGCTATTTGTTGTCGTATTGACGACGTCATTACGACGTCATTATGACTTCTTTTAAAGACTATTTATTCCAAGATAATTTTTGTCGTATCGACGACGTCATTACGACGTCTTTAAAAGACTATTTTTTCCAATATATTTTTTGTCGTATTGACAATGTCATTACGACGTCATTATGACCTCTTTTAAAGACTATTTTTCCAAGATATTTTATTGTCGTAAGGACGACGTTATAACGACGTCATTGTGACGTCTCTAATAACTTTTTTTTCAAGATAATAATTGGGTTAAGACTACAACATCTAATATGAGCATAAGTCAAAGTAAATAGGGCAATTATCAGAATTACAAATAGGGAACAACCCCCCCCCCCCCGCCCCCCCTTAATTGTCATTAGTCATTAATAGTGGACCAATTTCACACCAAGGTCTGCAATATCGATCAAGACTATACATGCTTGCATCTAGTTTGCTATTTCAAACGGGAATGTGTACGTACGTGTGTGTACAGGTACATTCAGCACTCAAGGCAATGCGTAGGACCATTGCACTATATACGCTGTATTTGAATTCAGAGTGAAAAAGCCGTTGCAAGAAGTATCGTCCTCCTGAATACTCTCGTTTTCTCCTGCAAATTTACAGTATGGGTAAGTCCTAGAATTACCTAATTTATTTACGAAAAGTACATAAATCTATAGTTACTGTTTTTTATTCTGAAAAGTTGATATGTAGATCTAGACTCTTTGTTACTGTAATGCATGATCTTAATTGTCAGTGATAGTGAGCTCGGACTTTCAACATTTGCTGACTAGATTCGAAATGTTTGATCCCATATATGTATTTTTATTTAGGGTTTTGATTGATGGGATGCATGGCATGGGGCATCATTTAAAGCAAAAAAGTTTACTCATTTGCCTACACATGGGCTGCATGGCTTTAAAGGGAAATCTAACTCGAATATACAACTGCTCTAAAACTGAAAGAAAGCAGAAAAATAAGAGAAGCAAACTGATGAAAGTTTTGGCACTAGGTAGGTCTACTGCTAAGTCACACCTAAGATGGATAATACATGCAGTCACTCCTTTATTCCAAGCAATACTGTAGATCTACTACTAGTTCAGAATCATATCCAGACTTTTTGACCAGTGACCCATGGCGTGGCCGGTGAGAGTCCTAAAAATCTAAAACATAGGTCTAGATCGGCCTACCCCAAATCAAGCAAATATTCATGAAATGTTCAAATAATGCCGGTCATGATTTAAAAGTCGTTATGTTTCTAACCTGTTTCTGGTCAATTTTTCTTATTTTGGGGGGGAGTATTTTTCGGGAAAAACGTTGATTGTAGTATACACTTTCTGACAGGTTGCACGGCAAACCGCTGCACAATACAAGTGCATACAGATGGAGGGTTGCGGGGGCACGTAAGTCTGCGTGAAGTGATCTACCTCCTCATTGTACGGTAGATAACTTCACACAGGCGTGCACCCGCCCGCAACCACCATCGGTATGCACTTGTAATGTGCAGCGGTTTACAGTGAAACCTGTGAGAAAGTGTACTATAGTACCGGCCCAGGCCCAGATGTTTGAAAATTGAACATTGCGTGTCGATACGTAGAGGAATAAAGCAGTGACTTGTGTCACAACCATGTAACCTTAAACAATTTGTTTCTACAGTCTTTAGACAGCAAATTTAGCTTATAGGCTACCGTATACAGAAATCTTATCTGGAAATAATCGGTTAGACCTGTAAATGGTAAACAAAATTCTTTCCCCACAGGCTGTTCAAAGAAGCTTGTAGTATTTGTGTTGCACATGCATACATTATCAACCTTTCATTTTGTTTTAACTTTATTTATTTTCTCATTTATTTGTAGGCATCTTTTTTTAACATCTTTCGTCAAAGAAGTGGATTCAAAGCACATTGTGGCCTCAGTATATTGATGTGAAACCATGCAGAAAATGCTACTTTCTCTCAACCTTGTGGATGTTCCCTACTTCCCTAAGGATCAGCAGCCTCTTGAAACAGGTGAAGCCATTATCGGTAAATGTGTACATGTACTTGTATTATTTCTGTACATTTATTTGTCATATTGTGCATGATCACTGAGACACTGACGAATTAGACACTACATAATGGTTCATTTCATTTGAAAGGCTTATTTCAGTTATTTGTCCTAAGTTTCAAATATATTTATAATTCAATTAATTTTAGATCACTAAAACCTGCAGGTATGTTGCAATAACCGACAATATTATGTGAGTTTCAAACAGTGTTTTTTTACCCTTCAGCATAGGTCAAGGAGCTTTCATTCTACCCTCATCAGCAAACTACAGGAATGCCAGTTTTCAGGCAATAGCCTGAATTCAGGCCCTGAGGAGTTATTTTCATACCATAGTTTAGGTTTTTTGTGTACAAGCTAGCTCATTCTAGGTGATTTTTCAGGTCCTCTGATCAATTCTAACTGGCATCCCTGAAACTAGAATTGTATTGATAATTAACCAAACAAAATCCTGAATCATGTTTTGCATTGCCCACAAATGTTTAAAACCCAAAGGTGTGTTGACTTTATGTTTGTGAGCAATAAGAAATTATTTCTGATAAATCTTACCAAGCAGTACTTTTCTGACAGAATTAATTATTTACGTTCCAGTTTTAAAATATATGAAAGTTTTTCTTAAATTGTATTCCTTTCTTTTTGCTTTATTCATGCATTAGAATTCCTTGCGTCTATGTTCCTTGGATCTGAAAACAGTGCATAATGCAGGAGATTCCACCCAAAAGCTAACCCACAAGTCCAAGCTGAAGTGGAATATTTCGCAAAATTTGATCTACACTCACCCGATAGCTTTACTGCTAGAGAAAGGTTATTTTTCACTTCATTATACTTTATAGAGAGAGATTGGGGGAGGGGGAGGGGTGAGGTGTAGCCACAAACCTGAATGGATAAGCTGTAGAACTGAAATTTCCAGTCATGTTACTTGCAATTTTAATGAATTACAGGATTTACGCACTGGCATAATAACGATTTGGGTAAAAGTCTAAAAGATTCCAGTATTTTGAGGATATTTGTAATTACTATTCATGAAGTTGACCTGTTTCATAATGTCTCATGCTCACCCCCTCCCCCCACCCCATCCACTTCATATCAGTTCTTAAAACATGTTGCAAATTATATATACATTGTTGGTAATAGAGAAAAATTGAGTGAGGTAAATGCAATACAAATCGAATCCATTATTAAGCAATTAAGACTTGTTCAGGTACGGCACGTGAACCTCCAACAAATTTCAAAAATGATGCAGTTTGGTTTTATGTGTAAAGTGAATGGCAACAAAGGACCTACCGGTGCGTGTCTTTGTATGTTTTGGACTGCGCAAATTCAGTGAGCTCTTTTTAATAATATACACTATGTAAAGCGTATTGAACTCTATGTCAGCATTTAAAAAACTCTGCGATTTTGACTGTTTTGCAGCATCATATCTGAGCAAGCCTTAACGGGACGTGGTAAAATTGTTCAGATGAGAGACAATTGTGCTAAGGTATTGACTTCAATGCTATATGTACACTTAAAGATAATCTGAAAGTTTGAGTGAAAAAAGACCATTATTGATGATAAAAATTGGGAACAACTGATCTGATCGATTCCTTAATTCTTCCAACTATATTATTATAATTTAATTAAATTTTAGGTGAATGTAAATCATCACAAAGAAAAGAATTGGCTCTAATAATACCTTAGATTTTTAAAGGCCTGTTTTATATCTTATTTTCATGGAAAAACGGTTGGGGGAAAATTCAAAAATTTATTGGGAGAATGAAGTGTTAAAGAGTGACACACAGTGGCGCCTTCAAAGAAAACCATAAATATCTTTGTGGTTTGAGAATTCTTTGGTAGTTAAAAGTATAAAATTCTTGGATTGTATCTGTGATTTTGAGAGCACTATATGGCTTACCTTTATTGAATTCGCTGTTAAAATTTAAGTTAAATTAATATTTTGTGAAACTCCCCCCAGGAGTTTCAAACGTGCCAAATGAATGTTGTGACATTAGCAATAGAATGTATCTCTTTGTGCTAAACTTGTTCAGCATGTTTGCTATTTTATCTTAAACTTGGAAATATCTTCTGAATAATTATTGCACAGTCACCTTGGAATTGCCCAACAAAGCCACTCGTACTGGCGGGAATGTTATCTGATAGAAATTGTATTTTTATACTTGAACTTCAGCTTCTGTATTTACAACAATTTTTTTTGGATGATATTTATAAAATATGAATGTTGCCACTAATGCCTTTTCTTGTATTTAAGTCATGTGCCAGTAAGAAGCAGGTTTCTAGCACAGAAAATAGGTACAGTTGAGCTGATATCTGCACAGTTTTCCAATATGCTGTATCGCCAAATGTGAACATCGTGGTTTCAACGGGCAAGCAACCATCATCAGAAAACTCTGCAGGTATCAGTGAAGCTGTCCCTGTTCCCCTTGCTGCCAACTTGTTCCTTTTGAGTGTAAGAAATAACTTAGCTAAGCCATGTGTTTATCATTTGTGCCATTTTTCTCTTGTGTGTGATTTAGATTGTATAGTTTTATACTTTATACTGAATTCTTGCCATAAACTTAGATATTCCCCTTGTATGTAACAAGTATTGATCTTTCATGCTCAGGAATTGTTTCCAACAACCTTTTGTTTTATGTTATAGTCTTTATCTGCATTAAAGTATTGGGGTTGTGAGGAGCAGTGTTGCAGCATGGAGAAGAAATAGAGCTGCACTGATGAATGCCCAGCTTTCCACTATGCTGTTTTGCTGAATATGAGGAACTTCCCCAGTCTGATGTTTTCTTGTCTACTAAACAACTGCGGGTATCAGTGTAGCTTTACCTAGTCTCTATGCTGCTAACCTGCTTCTCACAACCGCAAGACTTATAAGTTAAGCCAATATATATCATAGTTTCTTGTAACTGAATTAAATTTGAAATGAAATAGCACAATTTATAACGAAACAAATATATTTGTGATGGCCTGTTAACTTTCTTAAAATCAATTATGAGACTGACAGAAATACACTAGGTATTTATACAGCATGTTTTGGAAGAAGTTTCAGGATGGTGATGGAAAGATTTTGTATTTATAGAAGACAAGTTAGATAGAAGAAGGTATAAACATAAGTATTCTATATTTTTATTATCCATTTTCATACCATATAAATGAACATTAAAAATATGAAAATTACTTTCTGTCTGGCATGTGTATATATTATGTGATGCAATATCTGTTGCTCTATTTTTACTGTGTGAATGTTCAGAATGTATTCATGAAGTGACTTTTACACTTTCTTCCTTCATCAGGTGGTCATATAGATGTCATTTAGAGGACACAAAAGACGTAAAGATCATGTAAGGATAAAAGGTACATCGAAATGACCAGTAAGATGTAAATATCACGTCAAAATTTGATGTCCATACAACGTATACATGACGTCTGTATGACGTCTTTCTTGGGTAAAAGTTGACGTCTTAAAGACGTCTTTCTTGGACCAATAAGACCAGAAAAAAATATGACGTCCATACGACGTCTTCCATGGTACAAGTTGACGTCTTAAAGATGTCTTTCTTTGACTAATAAGACGTTAAAATCACGACAAAATATGACGTCCATACGATGTCTTTCTGTAGTACAAGGTGACGTCTTAAAGACGTCTTTCTTTGACCAAAAGATGTAAATATGACGTCCATACGACGTCTTTATATGGCACAAGTTGACGTCTTAAAGACGTCTTTCTTTAACTTATAAGACGTAAAAATCACGTCAAAATATGACGTCCGCATGACGACGTGCGCGGGTGCAAAATCATGTCTTTTTGACGTCGTGTTATGTTGTCTTAAAGACGTCTTTCTTTAACTAAAAGACGTAAATATGACGTTCATATGACGTCTTCCTATGGTACAAGTTGACGTCTTAAAGACGTCTTTCTTTGACTAATAAGACGTAAAAATCACGTCAAAATATGACGTCCTCATGACGACGTGCGCGGGTGCAAAATCATGTCTATTTGACGTCGTGTTATGTCGTCTTAAAGACGTCTTTCTTTAACTAAAAGACGTAAATATGACGTTTATATGACGTCTTCCTATGGTACAAGTTGACGTCTTAAAGACGTCTTTCTTTGACTAGTAAGACGTAAATATGACGTCCATACGACGTCTTCCTAAGGTACAAGTTGACGTCTTAAAGACGTCTTTCTTTGACTAATAAGACGTAAAAATCACGTCAAAGTATGACGTCCTCATGACGACGTGCGCGGGTGCAAAATCATGTCTTTTTGACGTCGTGTTATGTCGTCTTAAAGACGTAGTACAAGACGTAAATATGACGTGATATTTACCAGTCTCTGCTATCAGGGGTAGTTATTCCATGCTCAAAGTTGCTTAATACATACAACTTTAATTTCATGTTTGCTTCTTTATATTTCTCTCCCTTTCTCTCCCTCTCTCTATCCCTCTCGTTTTATTCTTATCATAATTCTTTTTAAAGATACTATGTCCCTTTTGCAATCAACATCGCATTCTGTAGGACTTTGCAGGAATTATGAATCTGTCATGCATGTCATATCTGTAAGATTTAAACAGTAGCACTGTCCTAGTACTCAAATTGTGCAAGAAAACCCGTTTAACTTCTAGACTTAACTGTCAGACACTATTAAGTGACTGACTGACATTTGAGCTGTAACAGGTCCATGAGTATTTGTCTACATCAATAACCCACTACTTGTAATGACCAAAATTAAACTGATTGAATCTTTGTGCAGCACAAAACGTAAAACCATTCGCATAAAGGGTCTGAAAATCAAAGTATTACTTAGGTGATCGAAATCGCTGAAGTCGATTCGACAAACAATGGTCCTCATTTTCCCACTGAAAGCCATTTTTTACCCCTTTCGTTTTGAGGGAAGTTCTAAATTAATGTTGTTTTTCAAATGCCATTGGAATTTAACCTTTCCCTTTTTTGGCCTGCAAATGGGACGTAGTACCTTTAACGTTTTTTATCATACGCAGGGGTAAATCTCAGGGTGTGGTGCACTTCACATTTTCACATTCTAGTAGCTCATAGCTTAAAACAAATCGGTAGGGGTATGAATTATTAATTTGTTAACTGTACGTATGTATATATTTATAATTTCCTGGTTATTTGGTGAATCAAATTTATACAGTAAAAAGATAATTTCATTTTTTTCTCAAGATGTCTGTTCTGACTTCTTTTTATAATTTCACAATGTTTTCTTTTACCCTTTCAGTCGATATACTGGTTTTCTTCAGATATTTCTTTAGATCTTTAAGCTTTTGTGGGCATGGTTTCTCGAATAATCGAAAGAATCAAAAGTTAGCAGGTAAACGTTGCAGCCTCATGATGTATCTCAGTGGTTGATCTTTGTCCCAGCAAGCACATCCTCGTGCGTTTAATGTACGTGAAGAACTTGCATGAATCATCTTCAAAACAAATGTGACCGCACCTAATGACGGACCTCACATCCGGGTGAGATGAGTGAGTGTCAGTAAGCGCCCGATCCCTGGCAACAAGTCTGTACACTGCGGATCGTTTGGAGACTGTAATAAAGAGGAGAATAAGCAAGTAAACTTGATGACTTTCTAAAAATTAGATTCAGCGGCAATTATCCCGTCTACAGAGTCATGTGAGAGGATCACAAAGTCGATAACAGGGATTTGCACGTCGACATAGTGGACTGCTACACGTGACATCCTTTTAAGGCACTGGCAATGCCTTAAAATGTCACAGTGCCCTAAAAAGGCGTCACACTCTTAGCAGTCCACGGTGGCGGATCCAGGGGGGCCAGGGCCCCCCCCCCCTGGAAAAAAATGAGCAAATTTACCCTTTTTAACGTGAATTAACCCCTGGCACTCAAGGGGGGGGGGGTGCAAATTTTCAAATCCCCGAGGGCCAAACAAAAAAATTGGCCCCCTCTCCTTAGAAATCCTGGATCCGCGCCTGGCAGTCCACTATGTCGACGTGCAAATCTAAAAGTCCCTAATACCAAGGTAGATAAACAAGGACAGTGCGTGAGAAAGTACTGTACCAAAATCGTTTTCTTTTTAATCCCATTGCGTATGAGCCTCAACATCCGTTTAACCACCAATACAACACGGTACTCCAAACGTATGATGCAGTAGAGCAAAAATGAATTGTCTATTGCTCCACAAACAGTGCCACTCAGGCACACATGCATGGTGACAAAGGTAGCTTATATACAACGGTGCAACCTTTTGACGTAGGGGGAACGGAGGACTATTTTAGCATTTGATGCTTAAATTGCCTGACGTAGGCTTTTTATGCCTCATAATTATATGAAACTGTTTCAAAATTGAATTACTTACGTATTCACTAAAATCGCCATTAAAATCAATGACGGATTAGGTAATCCGAACAAGAGTCTATCAGATTTACAAAATGGTAAATGAATTACCCTTGCCTTGAGTTGATTTTAAAAAGGTCTTTGCGATCGTGTCACGTGTACAGTCATTATTTTTCGTAGCACCTTCTCATCACTTTCTAATCATCTTTTTTCTTCTTTCCTTTTTTTTAATAATAATTAACTTTTCTCTCCAGATCTAACAAAAAAGGGAGTGCAAAATGTTCTAATATGTGAACAACAATTACAGTAGACTTGATTTTGATATTTTCTTTAAAAAAAAATAATGTCTTCTGAATCATGTAATTATGAAAATGTACCAATTTTTGAAAAATCATTTATAAGTTTGTTTATGTTTAAACTGGTTTTTGGAAGTTTGAATGTAATGGGGAAACGCGTTCTGCAATTTGTTTATGAGGGGAAAGCATAACAAGTTATAAACAACAAACCAAACATTCTTATCGCCACCTACATAGGGGTTAGAGAAGGCAACGCTCACAGGCTCTTTGCCTGTTACGGACTTGATCTTAAAGGCGACGGCTTTATCAGCTTCAAAAGTTTTATTGGGGTGAGAGCACTTTTTTTTTTCTTTTTCTCCCGAATATTTGAAAATCGCGCCGGTCGCGAATTCGCTCAGTGTGGGGGGGGGGGGGGGGGGGGGTGGGGTGGGGGGTGCTCACTATTTTTTGGGGGGGTGTCGGGGGCACGTTCCTGTTTGTCAGTACATTTTTGGCGAATTTGGGACTGATTTCAACAATTTTTTTATGGCCGGGGGGGGGGGGGGCAAGTACCCCCTGTAATTTGTGTCACAACGATATGCATTCAATTTCAAAGTTTGTACGTGTTAAACGAAAAAGCTTCTCTCGGACTATCCAGAGCAATTTGTAAAAAGTCTGTAGCTTCTGTGATAGTGGAAATAGGTATTAAAGAAGAAAAAGGCCTAAGAAAACGGCCCGAAACGGACAAAATGGCGCCTGGCAGGGGCGGATTTAGACTTTTCGCTAAAGGGGGGGGGGGGGGGGGGGTTGACGCAATGACGATGCGGGGCATCGTGCACGAGCCCCCGTAATTGATGATTTCCTGACATCGACTAACATGTATATCATCGTCCACGAGCCAGGAGGCGCTTAAAAAAAATATTGTTTGCCCCTGTAAGTGATGTTTTCCTGGCATCTACTGACATCTACTAATACTATGTGGGTCTGGACACATGAAGGCGTTTTTCTATGAACATCACATTTACACTTGGCAGCCCAAGGGGAGGGGTCTAACCCCCCCCCACTACCCCACTCACTCCCATAGATCCGTCCCTGCCTGGACGGTCACGTAAGAGTTATTCCTGCGTACGAAGACTTCAGTGGCCTTGATGGGATGCTAGAGACTACTACGCCTTAGAAGTTTGAAAGGAATTGGGATAGAGGAAGGGACCTAGATAGAGCTCGAAAACAGTGCGTACAAAGCTAAAGTGAGATTTGGCTTAAGATCAAGAAGAATACCACAAAGAAGAAGAAATGCAGAATGCAAACGAAAAGAAGACATTTACAATAAGTCGTCAATGCAAAAAGGAAGTATAGAAGAATAAAAAGGAAGACGAAGAAGAAGAAGAAGAAGAAGAAGAAGAAGAAAAAGAAAAAGAAGACGAAGAAGAAGAAGGAAATCTGGCCGAAATGTTATCTTTACAGATTTCCATTGATGGGAACTGAACTAGAAAATTGTATCAATGTAAAATTTTAAAAGTAACATATTGATATATGTTACTTTTAAAAGATGACATGTATACATATGTAAAAAACAAATAAATCAAATCAAAATCGAATTGTATACGTTTTAACTTACCAGGAGGTGGTGATGTGGTCACATGTGTTTTCATTTTTGTAGCTGGTGCTGTGGTCACAGGTGTTTTCATTTCTGTAGCTGGTGATCTGGTCACGGGTGTTGTCATTTCTGTAGCTGGTGATGTGGTCACAGGTGTTTTCATTTCTGTAGCTAGTGCTGTGGTCACAGGTGTTGTCATTTCTGTAGCTGGTGATCTGGTCACGGGTGTTGTCATTTCTGTAGCTAGTGTTGTGGTCACAGGTGTTTTTATTTCTGTAGCTGGTGCTGTGGTCACAGGTGTTTTCATTTCTGTAGTAAGTGGTCTGGTCACGGGTGTCTTCATTTCTGTAGCTGGTGCTGTGGTCACGGGTGTTGTCATTTCAGTTGTTGTAAGAATAGCTGTCGAATCGGCCGTTGTTGGGTATTGTGCCGTTGTCGACGTCATGGTGTCCATTCATGTGCGAAGAATTTCATAATTGTAAAGTAAAAAAAAAAACTACAGTTAGAAATTCCACACGTGAATAAAGGTAAAAATCAAACAAACGCACCCGCTCGCAAGCACGCATATCTAAGTACACAGGTGCATGCGCGCGTGTTTGTGTGTGGATGTGGTGTGTGTGTGTGTGTGCATGTACATATCAAAACACGATCCCAACTATTCTTGAAAAAATCAACTCAAGGGCACTTTCATTACCCTATAACTCGTCCCGAAGAAATCATGTTCAGATTACGTAATAGCTCATTGTATATAATGATCGAATATTTCAGTAGGTGACGCATAGTAAAGGCCAACTTGAGTTTCTTAACCTTTTTTGAGGGGTTTATGATACACTGTTGCTCATTAAGTTAGAATATTTTTTTACCCCTATTTATGGAATTATTTTGACAATGATTTATTCCTAATAGATCTAGATAATAGTATACATTCTCAGATTTTATTGAATAATAATTTGCCAGTGTTTGTTTTGCGTGACTGCTAAAGCATGTGTATGCTGCTATGCTTATCAACTAGGGGACCTACGCCCTTACGTCATAAATGACAGTAATCAGGATTAATGCCCCACAAAAGGGCACTAGCACATCGACACGGCTTTGATCCTGGGGTCTCACAGTTACGAGGCCATTGCTTTGCCACTTAACCATGACTGTACGCAGCGGGGGCTAGGGTAGGGGGCAGTTCCCAAAAATAAAAACAAACAAAGAATTATATAAAACTGTTTGAAAATTGAATTACTTACGTATACACTAAAATCGCCATTAAAATCAATGACGGATTAGGTAATCCGAACAAGAGTCTATCAGATTTACAAAATGGTAAATGAATTACCCTTGCCTTGAGTTGATTTTAAAAAGGTCTTTGCGATCGTGTCACGTGATCATCACTTTCTAATCATCTTTTTTCTTCTTTCCTTTTTTTTAATAATAATTAACTTTTCTCTCCAGATCTAACAAAAAAGGGAGTGCAAAATGTTCTTATATGTGAACAACAATTACAGTAGACTTGATTTTGATATTTTCTTTTAAAACAAAAAATGTCTTCTGAATCATGTAATTATGAAAATGTACCAATTTTTGAAAAATCATTTATAAGTTTGTTTATTTTTAAACTGGTTTTTGGAAGTTTGAATGTAATGGGGAAACCCGTTCTGCAATTTGTTTTTGAGGGGAAAGCATAACAAGTTATAAACAACGAACCAAACATTCTTATCGCCACCTACATAGGGATTAGAGGAGGCAACGCTCACAGGCTCTTTGCCTGTTACGGACTTGATCTTAAAGGCGACGGCTTTATCAGCCTCAAAAGTTTTATTGGGGTGAGAGCACTAATTTTTTTTTTTGCTCCCGAATATTTGAAAATTGCGCCGGTCGCGAATTCACTCAGTGGGGGGGGGGGGGGGGGGGGTGATGGGGGGGGGGGTGCTCACTATTTTTTTTTTTTGGGGGGGGGGGGGTGTCGGGGGGCACGTTCCTGTTTGTCAGTACATTTTTGGCGAATTTGGGACTGATTTCAACAATGTTTTTATGGCCGGGGGGGGGGGGCAAGTATCCCCTGTAATTTGTGTCACAACGATATGCATTCAATTTCAAAGTTTCTACGTGTTAAACGAAAGAGCTTCTCTCGGACTATCCAGAGCAATTTGTAAAAAGTCTGTAGCTTCTGTGATAGTGGAAATAGGTATTAAAGAAGAAAAAGGCCTAAGAAAACGGCCCGAAACGGACAAAATGGCGCCTGGCAGGGGCGGATTTAGACTTTTCGCTAAAGGGGGGGGGGGTTGACGCAATGACGATGCGGAGCATCGTGCACGAGCCCCCGTAATTGATGATTTCCTGGCATCGACTAACATGTATATCATCGTCCACGAGCCAGGAGGCGCTTAAAAAAATATTTTTTGCCCCTGTAAGGCGCCTTGGATTAATTCGAGTGGCAGTAAACACGTGGCTTTATGCAACGCGGCCTAGTTTGCGTGAAAGCCACAATCGTCTGCACCCCTCTATTCAAAAGCCGGATGCGAAAATCCCGTGTAAAGGTGCGTCCGCTTCAACGACTTAAGAACATAGCTTGACCTACTCGTAATGTTTTCAACCGATACCAGTTAACCGCCCTCTATAGTCTGCCATGTAACTCTCAAACTATGCAGGGGCCGCGGAAGCGGGTGGCTGGGTCTTTTTTTTTAGTAGACACGTTTCATGTTCAGACCTCCCCCCCCCCTCCCCCACCCTACTCTCAAAAACGCTCCGCGGCCCCTGCTTTTTAGGATCAGAATTCAGATTCCCTTCCTGAAAGGGATAACTTATTAATACAAATTATTTATCACACATTTATACAAGTCATACATTAATGCCTTTTCTTCCTTTGATATGTTTCGCTTTGTTGTAGCTTCATTTGTCTCGTTTTCGTTTCCAAACTTCATTAATCTGTGTTGGGTTATCTTAAACAATATTTGACTTCTGGAACATTTATAAACTTATGGGCAATACGCTTGACTAATCATGAAAAGATTGTTTAATATCTATAAATGAATGGCGCAAAATATGAGCTTTTTAAATGAAAGCGCCGTAAAAAAATAAGTAACAACAACAACAGCAGCAGACTTCATTTTTTCTTTTATCCTCAAGCGAGGTTTTTTTCAATACATATTTACATTAATTACTCAATGATTGAGTGAAACGAGTGAACATTACATACAAAATTAAAGTATACACAACAATTCTACCAGCTTATTATTATTTTCTTTGATTGCACAATCATGCCTAAAAAAAATCTTACCAACGACTCAGTCTAGACAATCGTTTTAACGTAACATTTTATCAACGAAGAAAGATGGATATTATATTTAGAGTTCAGAAATAAACAATATGAAATGAAACAATAGGAGTGATCGAGAGGAAGGAAAAATCAAAGGTTTGTCCCCAGGTATATGAAATGAAAAGAATCTAACACAGTTACACAGGTAATAAACAAATTTAAAATAAGTGGTGAAGTGTGACGTCATCATTAATCTATGTTTTGAATTTCTCAATTTTTCTTAATTTTCCGAAAGAGCATCAAAAATAATGTCCTAATATTTATAACAGTATTGGCTGAGATATGACCATCTGAATAAATATATTTCCTATGGGAACTCAGTGTTATTTGCTCTGGCTCCTAATGATTTTATCTCGGACATTCAACGTTGCCTTTGCCCAACTCCGCGCATTAAACAGTACTTTATTGATTAGACACCCTCCCCAGTCCCCACCCCCCCCCCTTCCCCTCTCCCCTCTCTATCAAACTCGCCTTTCATGCTATGGTAATACGTTGCGTTAACATTTTATGCGCCATTATGTTAGTGATTGTGATAGATTTTGAGCGAAAGAATGGTAATTAGATGCGAAAAAAGTATTAAACAGGGAAACAAGACACACAAAATCATATTGCCAGTTGAGGTTGACATAAAAGCAAGCGAAGGAAGATGGCTTTCATATTAAGAGTTCAGAAATAAACAATATGAGTGAGAGGGGTTGGAGAGACAAAAAGTTGGACGAAGTCTGTACTGTATTCATCAGTATCATATTTGTCTCTCTAATCCCCCCCCCTCCCCTGGGCTCTTTTTGTTTTTGTCTTTCTGTTCTGTTTGTTTATGTATTTTCGCCTAAGTATAATGTCCGACGTATATTAACACCTTCAATATAGCATAATAAACATTTGTTGTCATATCAGTTTGATGCAACAGAGATTTATATTTAAAAGTTTACTTCTGATAATTATTATTGTACTGTTATATTCTTCTCTCCGTTCATTTTAGCTTCTTCTGAATGTTTACGTTATATTTCTTAATCTCTTGATGAAATATAAACACCAGAGGCTAGTATTTAGTGGATGCAAACAAAACATTGCAACTGATTGGTTCGAAAATCAATAACATGAATAGACTTCCTGCTTTTTCACTGCAGATCATAACAAAGCGAATGAAAATGGGCAGAACGTAGTTCAGATAATCCGGCCATTGTTTTCTTTCATTGGAATAATCCCCCAGCTCCATCTTCACACACAAACAGGCCGGTGAATGGGTTTTTGTTGTTGTTGTTTAGCAAGTCAGTTTATGACCCTTATTGCCAAATACTATGAACAATTTGTTTTGAATTCAAATTCAAGTATTTATACTTACATTATATGCTTGTATAAATAAACATGAATAATCTACACAAATATATATATTTATAAGATATATTATTAAAATGATTTTCTTTGGTCACGCTTTGCTTGAACTAGATTATGATTGTACTATGTCCATCATACAGACATAATTAATTGAATTTGTGCTTTCTTTATATTATATTGTTTTCTATAATACAAGCTTGAATAGAAACACATAATAAATACTTGAATTTCTATAATATTATTCATTACTTGACTGAATGGCAAAGTGATCGCGATCAATACCAAGTCATACATATCATGTGCATTATATAGTTCATAACGCTTTCTTTCATACAAGTACTCCAACAAAGCTCCAAAAGCTTATTGACAGATGTAATATACATCGGACATTATACCAAATCACAAAAGGGTTATCTATAGAAGAAGGTGGACAACATTATAAGAGAAAGAATAACGATTTCTCTTTCATTTATACAAACATTAACAGCATAAATACCCTTACAAAAACAGAATAAATCTTGAAGAGAGAGAGAGAGACAAGAAAAATGTGAAAAGGACCCAACAAATAAAAAAATAAAAAATAAGAAGATTCTAGAGCGGAAGATAATGGGGAAAACGTAATAGTTTGGTAGTATTGGCAAATTTTGACAATAATAGTTTGTAAGTAAATTAACAAAGTATATACAAACAAAAACGACACAAAATATTTGAAAGATTTTAGAACTACCGGTATATAGAATGATTATACGAAAAGAGTTATGTCTGAGGCCTATTTACATCTATGTTACGTAAGAGAAACAATGAACTTGGGCAAAGGTAGAGTTCGTTGTCATGGTTATAAACTCGAACAAAGGAAGGGCGGATTATAAGGTACTAGGGTGCTTGCCGTCATGAGATTTCTTCAGGGCGAGCGCGGATTACGCTGCTCCCAATGAATTACCAGCAGTATCAGAATTTCATATGAAAGAAAAATGGACATGCTTATGAAAAAAAAAACGATTATAATGAATAATATGAAAGTACAACAAACAGGAGCAATTGGTAATGTTAGTTTATATGTTGCACGATTGGAGAAATAAAGTATCTTGAATCTTGTGCAAGAGTATTGATTTATCCTAATAAGATTTTTTTTTGTGATGTGAGCAAAATTAACGCTAATTTCTAAACGAATATCAATCAATAATTTGTTACCTTCCTTCCATTACCCCCACCTAACAACAAACAAAGAAAAGCCGGAGACACATTCGTATACTTGGGGGAGGGAGGAAGACAAAAAATGTATGAGTGCAGTTTTCACATTTTAATGAGATTTATTGAATGGAAGAGTAAAATCAACCCAAATTTTTAAACGATTATAAACGAATTTTTATAATTCATTGCTTTACTTTCATTATTCATCACCCTCCCCATCTAAATAATGATAATAATAATATGATGATGATGATTATAATGATAATAATAAGCCGGAGAAACGCTAGCGTACGGGGGGGGGGGGGGGCACGGTGCAGAATGCGGATATAGAGGCAGACTGCACCCATAATGGGTGGCCAGTGAAGAAACAAAAGAGAGAGTGGGGAGAAAAGAGAAAGAAAGAGAAGAGAGAGAGGAAAAGAGATAAACAGGAGCAAGAGAAAATGTTTTCTTTGGAGAGGGCTTTATACCAAGTTCAAAGAAAAAAATAATATTTAAAACCTTCCGTAAAATGTGTTTTGCCTCTATGAGTTAAATGACAATGGAATAGCATAGTCTCCAAACAAGAATTCATGAATCAACACATTGGCTTTATGGCCAGCATGTAATTGTTTTTAACGGCGAGATAGAAAAAAAACCCTAGTCTTTATTTCCATTAATTGCTTGAGAATTAAATTTGAATGGGGCGCCCACAACCCGTGTGTCTAAATTGACACCTCCAAGTTACCTCCCCGAAAAAAATCTCCTTTTTAAAAATTAATTCGGTTATATATACACAGATAAAACGTAATTGTTTAAAATGCTAACAGTTCATTACAATACAACGGCTTGTTGAATTTTTTAAACAGGCCTTATTACTTGTAAACAACTCTTTTAAACGGTGTTTTTATTGTGCATAATGATCCATTCCAAACATACAGAGTACAGTGTTAATTAGACACGAACTCAAGCTAAGCTAAATAACTTAGTTTAGCCGCAGAGGGAGCTAAACAAGTATGACGAATCTTTCAATGGGTTGAACATTTTCTGGCTTGAAAAGGACGTCACGGTGTTCGGACACACACAATGCGTCTTCTCGTGGGCAAATCGTGCATCCGGGATTAACTCAATACGGCTTTCATGCATGCGCTCTCAGGTTAAAAACACGCAGCTTCACGCAAATGAGAATTAATCCAAGGCGCCTAAGTGATGTTTTCCTGGCATTTACTGACATATACTAAAACTATGTGGGTCCCCCCTACCCCACTCACGCCCATAGATCCGCCCCTGCCTGGACGGTCACGTATGAGTTATTCCTGCGTACGAAGACTTCAGTGGCCTTGATGGGATGCTAGATAGAGACTACTACGCCTTAGAAGTTTGAAAGGAATTGGGATAGAGGAAGGGACCTAGATAGAGCTCGAAAGCAGTGCGTACAAAGCAAAAGTTAGAAAAGATCAAAAAGAATACCACAAAGAAGAAGAAATGCAGAATGCAAACGGAAAGAAGACATTTACGATAAGTCGTCAATGCAAAAAGGAAGTATAGAAGAATAAAAAAGGAAGACGAAGAAGAAGAATAGGAAGAAGAAGAAGAAGAAGAAGAAGAAAAAGAAAAAGAAGACGAAGAAGAAGAAGAAGAAAATTTGGCCGAAATGTTATCTTTACAGATTTCCATTGATGGGAACTGAACTAGAAAATTGTATCAATGTAAAATTTTAAAAGTAACATATTGATATATGTTACTTTTTAAAGATGACATGTATACATATGTAAAAAACAAATAAATCAAATCAAAATCGAATTGTATACGTTTTAACTTACCAGGAGATGGTGATGTGGTCACATGTGTTCTCATTTCTGTAGCTGGTGCTGTGGTCACAGGTGTTTTCATTTCTGTAGCTGGTGATCTGGTCACGGGTGTTGTCATTTCTGTAGCTGGTGATGTGGTCACAGATGTTTTCATTTCTGTAGCTAGTGCTGTGGTCACAGGTGTTTTCATTTCTGTAGCTGGTGATCTGGTCACGGGTGTTTTCATTTCTGTAGCTAGTGCTGTGGTCACAGGTGTTTTCATTTCTGTAGCTGGTGATCTGGTCACGGGTGTTGTCATTTCTGTAGCTAGTGCTGTGGTCACAGGTGTTTTCATTTCTGTAGCTGGTGCTGTGGTCACAGGTGTTTTCATTTCTGTAGTTAGTGATCTGGTCACGGGTGTCTTCATTTCTGTAGCTGGTGATGTGGTCACGGGTGTCTTCATTTCTGTAGCTGGTGCTGTGGTCACGGGTGTTGTCATTTCAGTTGTTGTAAGAATAGCTGTCGAATCGGCCGTTGTTGGGTATTGTGCCGTTGTCGACGTCATGGTGTCCATTCATGTGCGAAGAATGTCATAATTGTAAAGTAAAAAAAACAACTACAGTTAGAAATTCCACACGTGAATTGAGGTAAAAATTAAACAAACGCACACGCTCGCAAGCACGCATATCTAAGTACACAGGTGCATGCGCGCGTGTTTGTGTGTGGATGTTATGTGAGGGTGTGTGTGTGTGTGCATGTACATATCAAAACGCGATCCCAACTATTCTTGAAAAATCAACTCAAGGGCACTTTCATTACCCTATAACTCGTCCCGAAGAAATCATGTTCAGATTACGTAATAGCTCATTGTATATAATGATCGAATATTTCAGTAGGTGACGCATAGTAAAGGCCAACTTGAGTTTCTTAACCTTTTTTGAGGGGTTTATGATACACTGTTGCTCATTAAGTTAGAATATTTTTTTACCCCTATTTATGGAATTATTTTGACAATGATTTATTCCTAATAGATCTAGATAATAGTATACATTCTCAGATTTTATTGAATAATAATTTGCCAGTGTTTGTTTTGCGTGACTGCTAAAGCATGTGTATGCTGCTATGCTTATCAACTAGGGGACCTACGCCCTTACGTCATAAATGACAGTAATCAGGATTAATGCCCCACAAAAGGGCACTAGCACATCGACACGGCTTTGATCCTGGGATCTCACAGTTACGAGGCCATTGCTTTGCCACTTAACCATGACTGTACGCAGCGGGGGCTAGGGTAGGGGGGCAGTTCCCAAAAATAAAAACAAACAAAGAATTATATGAAACTGTTTGAAAATTGAATTACTTACGTATACACTAAAATCGCCATTAAAATCAATGACGGATTACGTAATCTGAACAAGAGTCTATCAGATTTACAAAATGGTAAATGAATTACCCTTGCCTTGAGTTGATTTTAAAAAGGTCTTTGCGATCGTGTCACGTGATCATCACTTTCTAATCATCTTTTTTCTTCTTTCCTTTTTTTTAATAATAATTAACTTTTCTCTCCAGATCTAACAAAAAAGGGAGTGCAAAATGTTCTAATATGTGAACAACAATTACAGTAGACTTGATTTTTGATATTTTCTTTTAAAACAAGTAATGTCTTCTGAATCATGTAATTATGAAAATGTACCAATTTTTGAAAAATCATTTATAAGTTTGTTTATGTTTAAACTGGTTTTTGGAAGTTTGAATGTAATGGGGAAACCCGTTCTGCAATTTGTTTATGAGGGGAAAGCATAAAGGCGACGGCTTTATCAGCCTCAAAAGTTTTATTGGGGTGAGAGCACTTTTTTTTTTTTTTTTGCTCCCGAATATTTGAAAATCGCGCCGGTCGCAAATTCGCTCAGTGGGGGGGATGGGGGGTGCTCACTATTTTTTTTTTTTTTTTTTTTTTTTTTTGGGGGGGGGGGGGTGTTGGGGGGGGCACGTTCCTGTTTGTCAGTACATTTTTGGCGAATTTGGGGCTGATTTCAACAATGTTTTTATGGCCGGGGGGGGGGGGGGGGAGCAAGTACCCCCTGTAATTTGTGTCACAACGATATGCATTCAATTTCAAAGTTTGTACGTGTTAAACGAAAGAGCTTCTCTCGGACTATCCAGAGCAATTTGTAAAAAGTCTGTAGCTTTTGTGATAGTGGAAATAGGTATTAAAGAAGAAAAAGGCCTAAGAAAACGGCCCGAAACGGACAAAATGGCGCCTGGCAGGGGCGGATTTAGACTTTTCGCTAAAGGGGGGGGGGGGGTTGACGCAATGACGATGCGGAGCATCGTGCACGAGCCCCCGTAATTGATGATTTCCTGACATCGACTAGCATGTATATCATCGTCCACGAGCCAGGAGGCGCTTAAAAAAATATTTTTGCCCCTGTAAGTGATGTTTTCCTGGCATCTACCGACATCTACTAATACTATGTGGGTCTGGACACATGATGGCGTTTTTCTATGAACATCACATTTACACTTGGCAGCCCAAGGGGAGGGGTCTAACCCCCCCCCCCCTACCCCATTCACTCCCATAGATCCGTCCCTGCCTGGACTGTCACGTATGAGTTATTCCTGCGTACGAAGACTTCAGTGGCCTTGATGGGATGCTAAAGACTACTACGCCTTAGAAGTTTGAAAGGAATTGGGATAGAGGAAGGGACCTAGATAGAGCTCGAAAGCAGTGCGTACAAAGCTAAAGTGAGATTTGGCTTAAGATCAAGAAGAATACCACAAAGAAGAAGAAATGCAGAATGCAAACGAAAAGAAGACATTTACAATAAGTCGTCAATGCAAAAAGGAAGTATAGAAGAATAAAAAAGGAAGACGAAGAAGAAGAAGAAGAAGAAGAAGAAGAAGAAGAAAAAGAAAAAGAAGACGAAGAAGAAGAAGAAGAAAATTTGGCCAAAATATTATCTTTACAGATTTCCATTGATGGGAACTGAACTAGAAAATTGTATCAATGTAAAATTTTAAAAGTAACATATTGATATATGTTACTTTTAAAAGATGACATTTATACATATGTAAAAAACAAATAAATCAAATCAAAATCGAATTGTATACGTTTTAACTTACCAGGAGGTGGTGATGTGGTCACATGTGTTTTCATTTCTGTAGCTGGTGCTGTGGTCACAGGTGTTTTCATTTCTGTAGCTGGTGATCTGGTCACGGGTGTTGTCATTTCTGTAGCTGGTGATGTGGTCACAGGTGTTTCATTTCTGTAGCTAGTGCTGTGGTCACAGGTGTTTTCATTTCTGTAGCTGGTGATCTGGTCACGGGTGTTGTCATTTCTGTAGCTAGTGCTGTGGTCACAGGTGTTTTCATTTCTGTAGCTGGTGCTGTGGTCACAGGTGTTTTCATTTCTGTAGTTAGTGATCTGGTCACGGGTGTCTTCATTTCTGTAGCTGGTGCTGTGGTCACGGGTGTTGTCATTTCAGTTGTTGTAAGAATAGCTGTCGAATCGGCCGTTGTTGGGTATTGTGCCGTCGTCGACGTCATGGTGTCCATTCATGTGCGAAGAATGTCATAATTGTAAAGAAAAAAAAACAACTACAGTTAGAAATTCCACACGTGAATGAAGGTAAAAATCAAACAAACGCACACGCTCGCAAGCACGCATATCTAAGTACACAGGTGCATGCGCGCGTGTTTGTGTGTGGATGTTATGTGTGTTGTGTGTGCATGTACATATCAAAACACGATCCCAACTATTCTTGAAAAAATCAACTCAAGGGCACTTTCATTACCCTATAACTCGTCCCGAAGAAATCATGTTCAGATTACGTAATAGCTCATTGTATATAATGATCGAATATTTCAGTAGGTGACGCATAGTAAAGGCCAACTTGAGTTTCTTAACCTTTTTTGAGGGGTTTTGATACACTGTTGCTCATTAAGTTAGAATTTTTTTTACCCCTATTATTTTTTGGAATTATTTTGACAATGATTTATTCCTAATAGATCTAGATAATAGTATACATTCTCAGATTTTATTGAATAATAATTTGCCAGTGTTTGTTTTGCATGACTGCTAAAGCATGCGTATGCTGCTATGCTTATCAACTAGGGGACCTACGCCCTTACGTCATAAATGACAGTAATCAGGATTAATGCCCCACAAAAGGGCACTAGCACATCGACACGGCTTTGATCCTGGGTCTCACAGTTACGAGGCCATTGCTTTGCCACTTAACCATGACTGTACGCAGCGGGGGCTAGGGTAGGGGGCAGTTCACACAAATAAAGACAAACTAAGAATTATATGAAACTGTTTGAAAATTGAATTACTTACGTATACACTAAAATCGCCATTAAAATCAATGACGGATTACGTAATCTGAACAAGAGTCTATCAGATTTACAAAATGGTAAATGAATTACCCTTGCCTTGAGTTGATTTTAAAAAAGGTCTTTGCGATCGTATCACGTGTACAGTCATTATTTTTCGTAGCACCTTCTCCTCACTTTCTAATCATCTTTTTTCTTCTTTCCTTTTTTTTAATAATAGTTAACTTTTCTCTCCAGATCTAACAAAAAGGGAGTGCAAAATGTTCTAATATGTGAACAACAATTACAGTAGACTTGATTTTGATATTTTCTTTTAAACAAATAATGTCTTCTGAATCGTGTAATTATGAAAATGTACCAATTTTTGAAAAATCATTTATAAGTTTGTTTATGTTTAAACTGGTTTTTAGAAGTTTGAATGTAATGGGGAAACCCGTTCTGCAATTTGTTTATGAGGGGAAAGCATAAAGGCGACGGCTTTATCAGCCTCAAAAGTTTTATTGGGGTGAGAGCACTTTTTTTTTTTTTTGCTCCCGAATATTTGAAAATCGCGCCGGTCGCAAATTCGCTCAGTGGGGGGGATGGGGGGTGCTCACTATTTTTTTTTTTTTTTTTTTTTTTTTTTTTTGGGGGGGGGGGGGGGGGGGGGGGGGGGGGGGGGGCACGTTCCTGTTTGTCAGTACATTTTTGGCGAATTTGGGGCTGATTTCAACAATGTTTTTATGGCCGGGGGGGGGGGGCAAGTACCCCCTGTAATTTGTGTCACAACGATATGCATTCAATTTCAAAGTTTCTACGTGTTAAACGAAAGAGCTTCTCTCGGACTATCTAGAGCAATTTGTAAAAAGTCTGTAGCTTCTGTGATAAAGGAAATAGGTATTAAAGAAGAAAAAGGCCTAAGAAAACGGCCCGAAACGGACAAATTGGCGCCTGGCAGGGGCGGATTTAGACTTTTCGCTAAAGGGGGGGGGGGGGGGGTTGACGCAATGACGATGCGGAGCATCGTGCACGAGCCCCCGTAATTGATGATTTCCTGACATCGACTAACATGTATATCATCGTCCACGAGCCAGGAGGCGCTTAAAAAATATTGTTTGCCCCTGTGATGTTTTCCTGGCATTTACTGACATCTACTAATACTATGTGGGTCTGGACACATGATGGCGTTTTTCTATGAACATCACATTTTCACTTGGCAGCCCAAGGGGAGGGTCTAACCCCCCCCCCCCCCTACCCCACTCACTCCCATAGATCCGCCCCTGCCTGGACGGTCACGTATGAGTTATTCCTGCGTACGAAGACTTCAGTGGCCTTGATGGGATGCTTGAGACTACTACGCCTTAGAAGTTTGAAAGGAATTGGGATAGAGGAAGGGACCTAGATAGAGCTCGAAAGCAGTGCGTACGAAGCGAAAGTGAGATTTGGCTTAAGATCAAAGAGAATACCACAAAGAAGAAGAAATGCAGAATGCAAACGGAAAGAAGACATTTACAATTAGTCGTCAAATCAAAAAGGAAGTATTGAAGAATAAAAAAAGGAAGACGAAGAAGAAGAATAGGAAGAAGAAGAAAAAGAAGAAGAAGAAGAAGAAGAAAAAGAAAAAGAAGACGAAGAAGAAGAAGAAGAAAATTTGGCCGAAATGTTATCTTTACAGATTTCCATTGATGGGAACTGAACTAGAAAATTGTATCAATGTAAAATTTTAAAAGTAACATATTGATATATGTTACTTTTAAAAGATGACATGTATACATATGTAAAAAACAAATAAATCAAATCAAAATCGAATTGTATACGTTTTAACTTACCAGGAGGTGGTGATGTGGTCACATGTGTTTTCATTTCTGTAGCTGGTGCTGTGGTCACAGGTGTTTTCATTTCTGTAGCTGGTGATCTGGTCACGGGTGTTGTCATTTCTTTAGCTGGTGATGTGGTCACAGGTGTTTTCATTTTTGTAGCTAGTGCTGTGGTCACAGGTGTTTTCATTTCTGTAGCTGGTGATCTGGTCACGGGTGTTGTCATTTCTGTAGCTAGTGCTGTGGTCACAGGTGTTTTCATTTCTGTAGCTGGTGCTGTGGTCACAGGTGTTTTCATTTCTGTAGTTAGTGATCTGGTCACGGGTGTCTTCATTTCTGTAGCTGGTGCTGTGGTCACGGGTGTTGTCATTTCAGTTGTTGTAAGAATAGCTGTCGAATCGGCCGTTGTTGGGTATTGTGCCGTCGTCGACGTCATGGTGTCCATTCATGTGCGAAGAATGTCATAATTGTAAAGAAAAAAAAACAACTACAGTTAGAAATTCCACACGTGAATGAAGGTAAAATCAAACAAACGCACACGCTCGCAAGCACGCATATCTAAGTACACAGGTGCATGCGCGCGTGTTTGTGTGTGGGTGTTATGTGTGTGTGTGTGTGCATGTACATATCAAAACACGATCCCAACTATTCTTGAAAAAATCAACTCAAGGGCACTTTCATTACCCTATAACTCGTCCCGAAGAAATCATGTTCAGATTACGTAATAGCTCATTGTATATAATGATCGAATATTTCAGTAGGTGACGCATAGTAAAGGCCAACTTGAGTTTCTTAACCTTTTTTGAGGGGTTTTGATACACTGTTGCTCATTAAGTTAGAATTTTTTTTACCCCTATTATTTTTTGGAATTATTTTGACAATGATTTATTCCTAATAGATCTAGATAATAGTATACATTCTCAGATTTTATTGAATAATAATTTGCCAGTGTTTGTTTGCATGACTGCTAAAGCATGCGTATGCTGCTATGCTTATCAACTAGGGGACCTACGCCCTTACGTCATAAATGACAGTAATCAGGATTAATGCCCCACAAAAGGGCACTAGCACATCGACACGGCTTTGATCCTGGGGTCTCACAGTTACGAGGCCATTGCTTTGCCACTTAACCATGACTGTACGCAGCGGGGGCTAGGGTAGGGGGCAGTTCACACAAATAAAAACAACTAAGAATTATATGAAACTGTTTGAAAATTGAATTACTTACGTATACACTAAAATCGCCATTAAAATCAATGACGGATTACGTAATCTGAACAAGAGTCTATCAGATTTACAAAATGGTAAATGAATTACCCTTGCCTTGAGTTGATTTTAAAAAAGGTCTTTGCGATCGTATCACGTGTACAGTCATTATTTTTCGTAGCACCTTCTCCTCACTTTCTAATCATCTTTTTTCTTCTTTCCTTTTTTTTAATAATAGTTAACTTTTCTCTCCAGATCTAACAAAAAAGGGAGTGCAAAATGTTCTAATATGTGAACAACAATTACAGTAGACTTGATTTTGATATTTTCTTTTTAAAACAAATAATGTCTTCTGAATCGTGTAATTATGAAAATGTACCAATTTTTGAAAAATCATTTATAAGTTTGTTTATGTTTAAACTGGTTTTTGGAAGTTTGAATGTAATGGGGAAACCCGTTCTGCAATTTGTTTATGAGGGGAAAGCATAAAGGCGACGGCTTTATCAGCCTCAAAAGTTTTATTGGGGTGAGAGCACTTTTTTTTTTTTTTTGCTCCCGAATATTTGAAAATCGCGCCGGTCGCAAATTCGCTCAGTAGGGGGATGGGGGGTGCTCACTATTTTTTTTTTTTTTTTTTTTTTTTTTTTTGGGGGGGGGGGGGGGGGGGGGTCTGGGGGGGGGGGCACGTTCCTGTTTGTCAGTACATTTTTGGCGAATTTGGGGCTGATTTCAACAATGTTTTCATGGCCGGGGGGGGGGGGCAAGTACCCCCTGTAATTTGTGTCACAACGATATGCATTCAATTTCAAAGTTTCTACGTGTTAAACGAAAGAGCTTCTCTCGGACTATCTAGAGCAATTTGTAAAAAGTCTGTAGCTTCTGTGATAAAGGAAATAGGTATTAAAGAAGAAAAAGGCCTAAGAAAACGGCCCGAAACGGACAAATTGGCGCCTGGCAGGGGCGGATTTAGACTTTTCGCTAAAGGGGGGGGGGTTGACGCAATGACGATGCGGAGCATCGTGCACGAGCCCCCGTAATTGATGATTTCCTGACATCGACTAACATGTATATCATCGTCCACGAGCCAGGAGGCGCTTAAAAAATATTGTTTGCCCCTGTGATGTTTTCCTGGCATTTACTGACATCTACTAATACTATGTGGGTCTGGACACATGATGGCGTTTTTCTATGAACATCACATTTTCACTTGGCAGCCCAAGGGGAGGGTCTAACCCCCCCCCCTACCCCACTCACTCCCATAGATCCGCCCCTGCCTGGACGGTCACGTATGAGTTATTCCTGCGTACGAAGACTTCAGTGGCCTTGATGGGATGCTTGAGACTACTACGCCTTAGAAGTTTGAAAGGAATTGGATAGAGGAAGGGACCTAGATAGAGCTCGAAAGCAGTGCGTACGAAGCGAAAGTGAGATTTGGCTTAAGATCAAGAAGAATACCACAAAGAAGAAGAAATGCAGATGCAACGGAAAGAAGACATTTACAATTAGTCGTCAATGCAAAAAGGAAGTATTGAAGATAAAAAAAGGAAGACGAAGAAGAAGAATAGGAAGAAGAAGAAGAAGAAGAGAAGAAAAAGAAAAAGAAGACGAAGAAGAAGAAGAAGAAAATTTGGCCGAAATGTTATCTTTACAGATTTCCATTGATGGAACTGAACTAGAAAATTGTATCAATGTAAAATTTTAAAAGTAAATATTGATATATGTTACTTTTAAAAGATGACATGTATACATATGTAAAAAAACAAATAAATCAAATCAAAATCGAATTGTATACGTTTTTAATTTACCATGAGGTGGTGTGATGTGGTCACATTGTGTTTTTCATTTCTGTAGCTAGTACTGGTGGTCACAGGTGTTTTCATTTCTGTAGCTGGTGATCTGGTCACGGATGTTGTCATTTCTGTAGCTAGTGCTGTGGTCACAGGTGTTTTCATTTCTGTAGCTGGTGCTGTGGTCACAGGTGTTTTCATTTCTGTAGTTAGTGATCTGGTCACGGGTGTCTTCATTTCTGTAGCTGGTGCTGTGGTCACGGGTGTTGTCATTTCAGTTGTTGTAAGAATAGCTGTCGAATCGGCCGTTGTTGGGTATTGTGCCGTTGTCGACGTCATGGTGTCCATTCATGTGCGAAGAATGTCATAATTGTAAAGTAAAAAAACAACTACAGTTAGAAATTCCACACGTGAATTGAGGTAAAAATCAAACAAACGCACACGCTCGCAAGCACGCATATCTAAGTACACAGGTGCATGCGCGCGTGTTTGTGTGTGGATGTTATGTGTGTGTGTGTGCATGTACATATCAAAAACGATCCCAACTATTCTTGAAAAAATCAACTCAAGGCACTTTCATTACCCTATAACTCGTCCCGAAGAAATCATGTTCAGATTACGTAATAGCTCATTGATATAAATGATCGAATATTTCAGTAGGTGACGCATAGTAAAGGCACTTGAGTTTCTTAACCTTTTTTGAGGTTTATGATACACTGTTGCTCATTAGTTAGAATATTTTTTTACCCTTATTTATGGAATTATTTTGACCATGATTTATTCCTAATAGATCTAGATAATAGTATACATTCTCAGATTTTATTGAAAAATAATTTGCCAGTGTTTGTTTTGCGTGACTGCTAAAGCATGTGTATGCTGCTATGCTTATCAACTAGGGGACCTACGCCCTTAGTCATAAATGACAGTAATCAGATTAATGCCCCACAAAAGGGCACTAACACATCGACACGGCTTTGATCCTTGGGTCTCACAGTTACGAGGCCATTGCTTTGCCACTTAACCATGACTGTACGCAGCGGGGCTAGGGTAGGGGGCAGTTCCACAAATAAAAACAACAAAGAAAATGCAATAAATTATCAATAATTCATTGCATTTTACCCCGGTCCCCAAAAATTAAAAAAAATCTCTGTCTGGCCATGCATCACGGCTCAAGGCATGGGAAAACACAGAAGATTGTTTTCTGTCGGGGCCGGGGGATTCAATGAGTTATTGATAATTTATTGCATTTTCTTTGGGTTTGTTTATTTGTGGGAACTGCCCCCTACCTTAGTGTCATGGTTACAGTCAAATACATAATACTCACATTTTTCGTCTAAGTAGTTTATAATGGCGTAGCCTGTGTGTTTCACGGGGGGGGGGGCAGTGGGGAGTAGCAGCGTTACCATCAAGGGACTGATCTATCATGTCTCTAACCCTCAGCAAAGGAGGGAAACGACATGGACGGGTTGTAGAGACTTAAGTTATTCACCACTTTCAAGCATTTCGTAAATATACAATTGGCACGATATATTTTCCATATCGGTAAGGAAGTTTGATTTTCAAAATTTAAGCCGAACTAGACTCGATTTGGTTACCCTAAGGCATTATGCAAACGGGTAGCGTCCCTGTGTCATGTATTTCTAAAAAAAGTATTTAATTTTTTAGCTTTGATAATATCATAATCTAGCTAATATATTTTCCCCGCTCCTGAGTTGACAAATAAAAGACACATACTATCCATCGTAATTGGTCCCCCTGTACTGTGGGAAATTTTGCCCCACAACCCTGCCCTGACTGACCTTATCCAGGCTATGCCACTGAGACATTAAGTAGAACAAGCAGGCCCATTATCATGGCCATTTAAGGACTGAGATTGCTATTTAGAAACTATAGTAATTGTTCAAAATTTCGTCTTCTCGACTTCTCAGGTTCAAGAAGGTGAGAAGCGAGATTCCAAATCTCGTCTTCTCGACTTTTTGGGTACAAGATGGTTAGCAAGGTAGACTCCAAATATTTTTGTAGAAAGTAGCTTAGTAGAACTTGTGGATCTACAAATTATATAGCCTAGCCATATCCAGGGACCCAGACATGAAGCTCTTCAATTTAATCAGATGAAAGTTTCAAGATTTTCGTTTTTCAATGAATTATCATACTTTGGGATACTAGTAAACCTACCTTTATCATCCACAATCTTGATTTCCTGCAAATTTCCTAACACCGGAACACCACTGAGTTAGATCAAACCATGCACTTAGTTATTGAGAGGTGGGGAGGGAGGCACTTTAAAATTGTGGTTTGGTTGGGAGATGGGGGCTTGAACACTCTCGGACCTTGAAGGTCTTGTGTCATGTAGCTTACAAATAGGTAATGTAATCCCAATATGATTTACTGTTGGAGTTCTATAATATCCGCGCGTACGCAAGGTGTATGTGTATGTTTTGTG